GTTTCTTCCCTCTTGCCAGCTTCATTATTTTTTCCTTGTCCTGGATTCTAGGGAGCTTTACTATTATGTGTCTTGCTGTATTTTTTCTTTCGTCGTGGAAGTTTGGTGTTCTTCTTGCTTCTTGTATATCAATTTTCAGCTCCTTCTTCACATTTGGGAAGTTCTCTTCAATTATCTCTTTGAATATTTTCTCTGTTCCTACTTCTCTCTCCTCTCCTTCTGGTATTCCTATAACTCTTATATTTCCTTTCCTCATGGAGTCAGATAGTTCCCGAAGTCTTTCTTCATTCTTTTTCCTTCGTACTTCTCTTTCCTTTTCTGTTTTGGTTCTTTTTATTTCTGTGTCTTCAAGAGCACTTATTCGTTCTTCCATTTCATCAATTCTGCTTTCATTGCTTTTCCCAGAATTCTTTAGTTCTTCCACTAATTCTTTGATCTCCTGCATTTCTTTTACTTCCCTCTTTAGGGACTCAATTTCATTCTTCTGATCGTTGATTATTTTTCCCTTATCATTGTTTTCCTTTATGACTTCTGTCAGTTTTTTAATCACGGCAATTTTAAATTCTCTTTCTGGAAGGCTCAGAAGTTCTTCCAAGTTACTGTCGTTGCAATCTGGGGGCTGGTTTTCTTTTTGTGGTGTGCTTTTTCTCTGGAGAGTTGCTAGGTTGCTTGTGGTTCTTCTCCTCCCTACTGTCTGTTTTCTAATTTGCCGTATGCGTTGGGACACTGTGTTGTTGGGACTGGCCGGCATCTTGGGTGGGCTTCTCTGCTCCCCTCTGGTTCCTCCAGGAGTCATCTGTCAGTTTCAAGCAGTCTTTATTGGAGAAAGGTCCCTGTCCTAAAATGCCGATGTGGGGACACACTCCCCTGTGCGCCTGGTCTGCTCCAGCGGTGGGTTCCTGTTCCCCCTCTGGGCTTGGACTGCAGGCCAGAGGGGGTCTGGCGTGGGCGAACTTCCCCTGCTCACCTCTGGCTCCTGAGGAAGCCTTGTGCAGGTAGTCTTTACTGAAGAAATGTCCCTGTTCTAAAATGGTGATGTGGGACACACTCCCTGCGCGTCCAGTCTCAGGCACACTCTTCTGTGCGCCTGGTCTGCCCCGGCTGTGGGTGCTCTCTCTCCCTGTGGGCTCAGACTACTTGTTCGGAAGGGGCCCGGTGTGGGCTAACTCCCCAGCTGGCCACTAGCTCCTTCAGGAGCCTGTGCTGGCTTCAAGTCGCTAGGTGGCGCCAGAGATCTCTCCTAGAGCCCTTGGGGAGCTGATTTTCCACCCAGTGGGACAGGGAGCAGAGCGGGGATGGTAGGGTACACCTCAATGGCTTTGGGGTGCTGTGTCTGCCTTGTGCCCCACCGTCGTGGGGAACCCACGCCCCTAATTTCGTGCCCCGGGTCTCAGTTCCAAAGCCCTCAGTTCCAGGACGCGGGCTGTAGCCCAGTTCAGTGGTGTGGGAATGGCGCCTTTTGCACCGCTCCCGTGCCTGGGCGCCTGGTTCCTGCTCACTCAGGGAGGGACCTTCACCTCAGTGAGGACCTCCGCGCATCTCCCCGCAAGCCTAGGTCGTCTCCCAAGCCTAGGTCGCAGGCGCGGGGACCTGGGCAGCCGCGATCCCGGTCTGCACTTGCTTTTCAAGCGCGCGCCGAGTGCGCTGCTTTCCGCGCCAGCTTACCGGCAGCCCGGGCTGTGTGCGCGTCTCCCGGGGTCTTTGTTCTTCTCTAATGGCGCCCGGAGCTGTTCGCTCACCGCCGCGGTGGATCCTGCAGGGTTCGCCTCAGCTCCCGTTCACGGGGTGTGGTGGCTGCAATAGTTCCTTTCCACTCACAGTCCCGCTTGCTGCGTCGTTTGTTCTTGTGGGCCGTTTTGGTTTGTTGTTTTCCTCGTCTCTGCCGGTCGGAGAGTGCCGCCTCTGTGGGCGGGGGAGGGGAGCAGGGTTCTGCGCTTCCCTCCCTTCTGGTCCTCTTTTATGGCCACTTTCTTCTTCGGGTAGTTTGCTGGCATCACCCGTTTATCTTCCATGTCCCAGTTCTCACTGGGACCTGCCGCTTTTCCTCCCTATTAACTTTTTTTAATGGGAGATCTTACTCGCAGTGTCTCCTCGCCGCCATGTTGCTCCGCCCCTTGCTTTTAATAGTGATAGTCTGATGTAATTAAGCTTTCCTTTAGTAACTTCAAGACCATTAGTGGAAGTCTGCTTTTATCAGAGAACAGTGGCAATTGGTCTTCCAAAACATACAGTACAAATTAAATCACAGAAGCAAAAAATTTTATCCACAAAAAAGATCTTAAAGATAATATAGTCTCTTACTATTTTTTTTTTTTTTTTTTTGGTGAGGAAGTTGCTAACATGTTTAGGGAAATATCTGGAAATAGTTCAAGGTTTCATGGCTGGTTAGAAGGAAAGCTGGAAATAGAATTCAAGGATCCAGAAAACATTTATTCTACCACAAAAATTCTTATTTAAATATGACATAATTTAATATGTATGCTTATTATTCTAATAGAATTGCTATAGGGTAATCATAAATATATGTGATGACACTATATCATTAAACACATCTGTAAGAGATCTAATTTGATATTTTCAAACACTGCATCTAATTCGACAAGTGCTCAAACATGACTATAGCCATTCCAGTGTTTGACTTAAAGCCTCAGACACACATTAAGACCTGAGGAAAGAAAGAAAACATTTCATAAAAAAATATATCTAAAAAAATTAAAAGCTACCATCAAAAGGATAAAAAATGACTGAGTTGCAATTATACCTGCCTTTTATCAGAAAACTTGGATTGCTCACCACAGAATATTAACACAATTTATTGTTCTCTAAGGTGACTCCTTAGAAACTTTTTTCATCCTTGTGCCATGCCTCTCAGATCAGGTTCCTGGCTCAAAAGCACTCAAATACACACACACACACACATTCTCTACTGATCAATGGTCTGACATAACAGAAGGAAAGTTTTAATGGAAGTAGAAATCATATTCATAGGCAGAAAAGGATATTCATAGGCAGAAAAGGATATATTCATAGGCAGAAAAGGATCTACTAGCAATGGACAGAATCCACTGCTGGAACAGTGGATGGAACAGGAATGGAAAGCAGAGGGAAGAATGCCAGAAAGAGAGTGCAGCACAGAGATTAAGAGCAAACTTGGGTTTGGTTATCAGTAATTACTTTTATGATGTGGAATAAAGGCCTCAGAAGCTCAATTTTCTCATTGGTAAAATGGAGGTGATAATACCCATCTCACAGAAGTATTACACAATAATGAGATAACTTAGCATATGATATAGCTATGTCAACATGAACAAATATCTAAGTCATACAATTAAACCTTGGTGTGAAATTATTGTGGAAATAACTAATGTCAGTAGGAGTAGCATTATACCAAGTAACAGCTGAATATGGTGAGAAGGGTTTGGGCTTAAAGTACAAGTTCAAGCCACGTGGTAGTCTACAGCAAAGTCATTAAGATCCAGACAATAAATATTTTAGACTTGTGGACTACAGTCTCTGTTGCAACTAATCAACTGCTTCTGTAGTATGAAAAAAGCCATACACAATATGTAAATGAACAGGCATGGCCATATTCCAATGAACCTTTATTTAAAAAAAACAAAAACAAAAACAAAAACAAACAGGCAGCGGTCCAGAGACCTTAGTTTGCCAACTATGAGACATTACAGATTTGCACTCAGCCCAGAAAATCTGTTGGTTTTTTTAAAAATATTTTTCATTAATTGTCAGCTGGAAAGGTGAAGAATGGAAGTGCAAACCACATTTCCAGTTCAACTGATCTAAAATGAACAAGCTTTTGGGAGACAAAGAAACAAAATTGAAATTCATACTGTTCTAGAACAGGATCTTTAGGGTATACACTGACAGCAAGAAAAAAGGAGTTAAAGTTGGCTATATGGCAACCATGTGTTTGCCTGGCAACACTGCATTGTGATGGGAAATCACCTTGCCAAGGAGGCATGTTTCACCTATTATACCCAAGCAAAACAAACAAAAAGACAGACAAAAAAGTCCTTATAACTTTAATCTGTATTTTGATTGAGGTTAATAAAGTTTCACCAGCATCCTTTTTATTAGTGTTTACATGGCATTTATCTTTTTTTTCTTTTTTTAAAATAAATTTTATTTTTATATTCCCCATACAATTTTGACCCCAAACCCTCCCCTCCCCGCCGCCCCCACCCTCCATGGAGTGTCTGGTTCACAGTTGTTTGTTGATTTTGATTTTTACTTTCTTATAGTTATTCTTTTTCCTGGTCCCTTATTTAAGTTTTCTAGATTCCTGCTATGAGTGAGACCATCCGGTATTTTTCTTTTTCTTTCTGGCTTATTTCGCTGAGCATGATCCCTTCTGGCTCCATCCAAGTTGCTGCAAATTGCTTGTGTTTATCTTTTTTGATTGCTGAGTAATATTCCATGGTGTATATGTACCACATCTTCTTGATCCAGTCATTTATTTTTGGGCATTTGGGTTGTTTCCAAAGCTTAGCTATTGTAAACAGTGCTGCTATAAACACAGGGGTGCAGGTGTTCTTTGGAATTGATGTTTCTGTGTCCTTTGGGTAAATACCTAGGAGTGGAATTGCTGGATCATATGGAAGCTCTATGTTTAGTAGGTCAAGAAATCTCCACACAGCTCTCCATAGTGGTTGGACCAGTTTGTACTCCCACCAACAGTGCAGGAAAGTTCCTTTTTCTCCACAACCTCGCCAACATTTGTTGTTGCTAGTTTTTTTAATATGTGCCATTCTCACTGGTGTAAGATGGTATCTCTTGGGAGTTTTGATTTGCATTTCCCTGATTACAAGTGATGTTGAACATTTTTTCATATGCCTGTTGGCCATTTGCATTTCCTCTTCAGAGAAGTTTCTTTTTAGCTCTTCTGCCCATTTTTTGACTGGATTATTTTCTTTGTCTTTGTTGAGTATCATCAGCTCTTAGTAGATTTTTGTGATCAGTCCTTTATCATTAGTGTTGTGTGCAAAAATGTTCTCCCAGTCGTTTGCGTGTCATCCTTGCACAGGGGCCATGCTAATCTTCTCTGTATCGTTCCAATTTTAGTATATGTGCTGCCAAAGCGAGCACGGCATTGATCTTTTTACGTCCTTTCAATTTCAAATTTTCTATATGCTTAGGTTTAGATGTAACTATTGTAAATGACATATATTATTTATAGTGTACTATTCTTTGGGTCTAATGATTTTTGTCTGTTAACTGGAATGTTTGATCCACTTACATTTTAACATATTTAGCAATAAATTTGAGTTTACTTATATTATCTTATTATGAGCTGTTTGTCCCACTAGTTCCATTACTTCTTTCTTTCAAATCATCTTTTCTTGTTATCTTTTGATCTGATTCTTTTACTATTATCCCATTTCCTTCTTCTTCATTTTGAAGGTTAAACATTTCTTTACATTCTTTTAATGGTTATCCCAGAAATTACAAGACACAATTTTTACATCAAAAATCTAATATTAATACCACTGGACAATGAGAGGACTTTAAAATCCTTTAATTCTTTCTACTCTCCTCCCAAATTATTTGTTAATTTAAAAATGAATTATAATTCCTTTTATTTATATTTAAGTCTCAAAAACATTAATATGTGTTGGTTGAGTTTATGATCATTCATATTTGTTACTTTTTTGTTGCCTCATTCCTTATGGAATCATGTTGTTTCTGTTTAAATAATAGCTAATTATAAAGGTACAACAGGCAACTTAATGTTAGTTGTCTGAAAATGTGTTTATTTCATATTCACTCTTAAAGATATTCATGTTGAGTATATAATTTTAAATAGGTATTTTGTTTCAGCAACATTGAAAGCATTATTCCAATGTCTCCTGACTTTCATTATTTGAATGAAAAACCATCTGTTTGTCTAATTGTTACTCATTTGAAAGGAATCTGTGTTTTCCCTCTGGCTGGTTACTTTAATGGTTATCTGTTTGATGTTACAATTTTCTGTTTCATCATGGTGTGATTAGGTGATTAGTTCACAACACAATGAAATTAAAGGATTCTTGCTCATCTTGTGGAAACATATATTCTAACAGTTTAGAACAATCTTATTTCCTGACGTAATAATGCTTTTCCTGGATTGTCTGTATTCACTCTTTTGGGTCCAATGAAATATATTTTGAACTATCTTTCTCTAAGTCTCCTAATTTTTGTTTCTTCCATCTGTGTTGTATTATGGGTAATTTTTCATATATATTAAAGTTAGTATCTTTCAGCTCACTAATTCTTTCTTTAGTTTATGTGATATTTAACCTCACCTAGAGTGTTTTACATCAAAACATTTGTCGCTCTCTCTTTTTGTTTATGATTCCTTTTAAGATTTCTATAGTATTTCCTAGAAAACACTCATGGTTTATTCATGGTAGCACTCCATACTCTACTTAATTATAAACCAAAACAGTTCATCTATAGCTACCATATTTTTTTAGCTGACTTTATTGTGTATATGTATTTCTGTATGCATGTTTTAGGTTTGTCAGGCAACTCATTCATGATGGGTTTCTTCTTTATGTGCTTGACTGAGCTTTGGATGTGAATTCATATTTCTCATAACAATCTGTAGGACTCCAGCTGGACTAAATTGGGTATGCCTTCCTCTGAAGAGGGTTTATGTGTAGTTAATCAATGCTCAGTTCCCTAGTCTTACTACTGGTGCAAGAATTAGGCTCACAATTGAAGATCAAAGTACTTTTTAGATGCTTGACCTTGGTGCAGCTATGGTCCACCTGTTTCCTTATTACTGGGGAGAAGGCTGTCCACACCATATTTTGATGAAGATTTTCTCTATTACTGTGTATCTAGCAATGCATGGAAATGATGTGTATCCTGAAAGGTTAGCAGTAGAAGAGTACTAACAGTATCTTCTTGCCACACTGTAGAAAGGAACAGTCTATATTGAAATTTAATATACATTATCATCAATAATAGATCAAGCTGTATAATTTAATGCTTAGAATTCACACCCTTTGTACATTAACTGAGTTTATTTAGTTTAATATTTTTCCTGAATTTGTTTTAAATAGAAAAGATATAAGGCTTCAGATTGCTACATGCAAACCCTCTGTGAAAACAACCCGCGGTGGGGTTGTCTAGTCTAAAAACTCAATATAAAGTATTGTAAAGTAAAATTTTAGATATAATTACTCTAATAATCACTCTCCCCCTTAATGTTGTTTTATGTAAGTACTGGGGAATATAAAGATTGGCTATCTATTTCATCAGATGGTAATACTAAAATGAGATAAATTTCCTGTATCATTTTTAAGCTGTATATTAACTTATATGACAACAATTAGTGTTTTTGGCTTCTTGTCTTTAAACAACAGTCTCTATTGTTCTACAATAAACAATGCAAAAATTAAAACTATTTAAAAAAACTTAGTGGACAAAATGACCACAAAAGCTTGTATAGTTCAGCTGAGTGTTAAGACTATTTCATGTTTGTTATATGTCTGATCTCCAATAACTGCCCCCTACTCTAATTTACGATAGAGGTTTACATAATCTCATTTTTATTTTATTCTTTTCTTTCCACTTTTATTTTAAAGGGGGAAGGTATTTATAAGTAATCACCCAATTGATAGAACTGTTGAAAAGTAGAAATTGAAACATTCCCCATAATTGTTTTTGACAATGTAAGCACTTTAGGGAAAATAAAACCCTATGTTGGAAGAACCACTTATTAGAAAATGTTTTATGTAAACTTTCTCAGTTTTAAAATTATAAAACTTAACATTGGAAACAGAATTTGAACCCAGAATTAACTACCAGTTCAGCAGATAACCTTGTGTCTGTGCCAACCTCTTCGCAAATGTTAAACATGCCACTATATCCTAGACGTGACAGTCTTTTCCAACTTCCAGCACTTTTTGCATTTCTGTCATTTATTTTGAAATCTTCTTTTTGTATTTTGAGTATATGATATCATTTACTTTTAAAGCTGTAAGTTATTTAACATAATGTCCTGAACCTTTATTTTATCCTTGCCCCTTAATTCAGGCAGTGGGGGCTTTATCCTTTCCTTTGAATTAACTCTGATAATATACTAATTACCCTGACCTTACATTTGATCCTGTTAGATCCTGTTAGATGTCTAGCCCCCAAGGACTTCCTGATTGTACCTCTGAAAGTCTTTCACACTGATATGTACAAAACTATTGGTGACTTCACTGACTTCACTAATAATCTATTATTTAATGAGATTTACCTCTTTTAAGATCTAGAAAATGTTAGTCATGTAGTATTTATAGTCCACAGAGACTATCCATTAAATTATTAAATTTCTGTCTATGATACCACTTGTTCTTGAAGTTATTTCCTCAGGAAAAAAAAATATATGCAAAAAACCACAAAGCATCAGCTGGAATGTGAGTTCCCCAAAAAAGTCCATTCTCCTTTCTTATGGCATGATACATTCCTTTCACTAAGCTTGCTTTCTCTGGTACTACCTAAGAACATGAGCACACAGAGAAAATTAAATTCTTATTTAAACTCAAGAAGCAAACATTTCCCAAAATGACAATATTCTCCTTTATACTGAGTTGTAAACATTTCTCTACATGCCAGTGCCCTTCCGTTTAGCTAGAATTTTAGTCAGCAGTATTTTGTTTATTTGTTCAGGATCGTGTATGTTTTTCACTATATCTATAAGACACCTCATCACCTGAACACCTGCTGTACTAAACTTGTCTTGCCAGCAAAAAATTTTGAAATTATGCAATCTGCAATTCAGTCCATGGCAAGCACTTGGGTAGAATTTCTTCTACACCTTTCAACATACCTAACAACAATTAAAGAACAACCTGCATAGAAATATTGCCAACTGAAAAGTTAGTGAAGCGAAGTTTAATCAAGTGAACTTGACTACCATTAGCTAAGGACTTTAGATACTTATTAAATAAGGACCATAAGCACTGTCTATCAAATAACCTTGGCATCAACCTCAAGATTTCATGACTGTATTGAAACATCAATATGATTATGTGATCTCTAATTAATGAAAATAATTTTTTCACTCATTAAAGTTTTATGTATCAATAATAAAAACTTGGATGGGGTTATAGAAAAATCAGTCATGAGAACTGGAAAAATTTACTCTTAAAGGAAATAATGTCTTAATTTATATATTAAATAAAAATTTAAAATAGGAAGATAGGTTTCTGGTTATGTAAACATTAAAATGTAACTAGCAAAAATTATAATTATTAAAAATGAAGTCTTACAGTCAAGTCTATCTGAAAGATATTTTTACTAAGGTAGTTCATAATTAAATAAGAACACTGAAAAAATTCCAAAAAAAGAATATTAACTTATAAGAATCTAATTGATAAATAATTTTATTCAGGCTTTTTAAACTAATCCAATAAATTTTCTAACCATTTACTATAAAAACCAACAAAAACCAACTGAAATTATCTAAATTTAAGGCAATTTTCAAAAAAGACCAAATCAGATGCTAAAGAAATATAGAGAAGCAAGATTTAATACACAAATCTGAAGTTTTCTTAAATGCTTTAAACTGATACACAAGTATTTTTAAAAAGCATCTGAAGTTTTAAAGTGATGACAATTTAGTTTTCAACCAAAGGAAGTAGGATTGCCAAACCTGACTTCACTTGTGTTACTAAATATAAAGAGAACTTCTGTATATGAAATTGGAAGTTTTTGGGAAATTGCATCTAAGCATGTGAAAAGCAGAAGAAAAGAGAATTCCCTGTTTCCTTTTGGATGCTGCAGACAACAGCAACACAGCCGAGGGCACACTGCTGCGGATTTTAACTGCTGTATGGAACTACTCAAAATGCTTTTGATCCATTTTATCTTGCAAGTTAGCAAAGAAATGTTGCAATAAGAAACACCAACAAAGATCTGAAAAAGTTAAGCTCTGGATTACCATATTGTGTTCTCCTGCCATTCAATGCTTTATACAAAGGCAGTGGTGTTCAAAGTAAGAAAGAAAAAAAAAGTGGAGAGAGAAAAGAGAAACTGGTCTCAGAAAGCGCAAAGCACAAAGTAAATAATATTCTTCTACATCCCTTCTTTTTCACAGATTGGATGTTAAA